AAAAAAAAAAAACAGTGTATGCAATCTCACATAATTATTATCATTTTTAATATTTTTTAATTAATTGACTCTGTATAAGTACTTATACTATTACAATTAAAAACAGTGTAAGCAATCACACACATTTTATGGGAGATTACTCGGCTAACCTCCACGTGGTGTGTCCTGGGTAAAGCTGATAGGCTGAAGGAACTCAACACGAACGTCGAACAACCTAAACATTTTGGTCGGACTCAACTCCAATAACCCAAATTTGCAGGACTCAATTATACAATATTGTCCTACGAAAATGCTGTAGGTACAACTCTTAATTTTATCTTTGTATATATTATATATTTTAATTCTTATTTTTTTTAATAAGTAATATGGTTTTTTTTATCAATATTATCTTATTATTTTTGTAAAATAAAATAAATAAACTTAAATTGTATGTTGAAAAATAACAAATTACACTTTAATTGATATTTCTTTATTAAATTCGTATGGATATTACACAGAGTTATCCTACTTTTATGAGCATAACCAAACAACAAAACGCCACCTATTTTTACTGCTCCAAAAGCCAAAAGGTGATGTCCGAAATACAACAATTTAAAAATTTAAAAAATACATCATTGTAAAAACGATTTTTTTTGTGTCTGTTATCACTTTTTCTAGTATAAAAAAAATACTTTGATGATCAACTTCAATGGAGGTTTTTGGTAACTTTGATTTATGAATTATGGAGGGGCAAAAAAGTAATAATGTTAAGTCCTTTTCATAACAATCGGACAAAACAAAAAATAATAATTTTAAGATTTTACCGATTATTAATCAAAGTTATTTTAAAAATCAGGTAAGTGATTGTTCCTCTGCTGTCCAGTAGGTTACAAGTGGGTCACTGTAGTTTATGTGTCAAATTTGTATTGAATGGTATAACATCATTGAATATTTGTTTAAGAAAAACTTTTCTGAGAGGAGACGGTTTGTTAGCCTAAAATATTATATTTATATTGTTATTATTAAAAAGGTAGCCGGAAAACTAAATTAATATTATTTGCATATTATCATATTTATGTATAATAATATAGTTTAGGAGTTTCAAGAACCCATGAATAATATTTATAAATTACAAGAAAATAACCAAAATCGTTATTTTTAGTTATTTAGTATGTAATTTCGAAAAAATAATACACTTACCATAAACTCTGTTTTTTATATCACATCACAAAAAACATTTACAATTTTGTGGCACCTTATCAGTCCTCCTTATCGGCCTCCAAGACTGCTATATAAAATGCAAATAAATGCAATAAAATGCTATACAAATTAGGTATTATCTAAATGATCGGAGACCCCCCCCCCCCCTGTGGGCGGCCTTGCGAGTTACGAGGAATCTTGTTCTTGTAATATATTTTCAAGTTTTTTCTTCATTATAAGATCAATACATTTATCATTCACTCTGAAATTATTTTATTTGTAATAAAAAACTATTATATCTGTGAAGAGAAAATAATAAACAAAAATATTAAATACATCAGATCAATACTACAAGTCTACAATATTTATTGTTATTATATTATAACATATAATATGTGAAATATTTTAATTTAAATCAAAAAAGATAAAAAAAAAAAATGAAAAAAATCGTTTCACCCGGACAGGGACTCGAACCCTGGACCCTTAGGTTAAAACACACATTATTGTAAAATCAATACATTTATTGCTCCGCTTGGAATCTAAAATCCTTATGCCAAACTTAAAATATTTCCAATTTTCGGCAATGTATAATATTCTATATTTTAATAACAACTAAACTTATATTTATAGTTATTAAAATATTATATAATTAATTATCATATTAATTATTATTATTATAAAAAAAAACATCAACAACAAAGGTTATTATACAAAATATACATAATAAGTGATTTCTGGTTGTCATTAACAAAAAAGTTTAAATTGTATTGTATAGTTTGGTCTTCCTTAGGAAAGCTAATATGTTTAATATGTTTTCAATGCCTGTATTATTAACACAACTCTAAGGTAATTTATAAATACTTTAGAATTAAATTATTGGAAATAACTTTAAATACATAATATGAATATCATATTTTTAAAATATTCAAGAAATAATTTATTGAAATATTAAGTATGTCTATTATAATATATTAACATTTTACTATGTATTTCTGTGGACTGTGAAAATGGATAGAAATATTCGTTCAATAAATACGTTGTAGGCACTAGGTATATTTTTGTCTATAATACAATATATTTCCTTAATATAGTGATATCAAATACCTATTAAACTAAATAATGATACTAGCCCATAATGGTGCCAATGTTGGAATGAATAAATTAAATAATACATTTTCGAATTTTTCCATTGGTATAGATAATAAAAGTAACATAAGAAGTGACAATATTTAATTAAGATTAATCATGTCTTTAAAGAAAAAGCTAAGTACTAAAAATAAATAGCCAAGGTTAGATTTAATTTGATATTATAAAATATTTAAATTTAAATGTATCGATAAAAATGTTGAAAAAAAGTGAAAAAAAACATTTCGCCCGGTCAGGGACTCGAACCCTGGACCCTTAGGTTAAAAGCCTAATGCTCTACCGACTGAGCTAACCGGGCTTCGAAAGTTTTTCGATATTTTAGTTTATATTCAGTAGAGGTGCAGTTACAATTCTTTAAAGTTTTTTCGATTTCGGGTTTTAAAAAAATTATGTTACCGGTTATTGGTAATTTTTCCAAATCTTAAACTACAGATAAACGATAAATACCATTACTTAGATATAGGTACATATTTATTACATTTTAGAGTGAAGCATTATTTATTAACTTTTTTCTTATTTTCTTGTGTCTATATATACCTACCTACCATCGGTACACGAATTGTATAGTAAAACAACGCTCAGATGTCCAACTTTGGGGATAGTTTCTTGTAAATTGTAACTAATTGGAAAAAGTTAATACCTACCGGCTACCTACATAAAAAAAATATAAAAAACACAGTCACAAATCACAATTATTTATTACACGCGACATTATTTGAAACTTTTTGACCGAAAAAAAATTATTCTGAGCCAGTGCCGCATTTAGACATTTTGCAAGCCAGTGCAAAAAAAAATTGCCGCCCCCGTAATGGGCCTAATCATGATAAATATGGGAAATAGATCCTCATGAACCTTTTAGATTTTGAGCAAATAAAAAAAAAAATTGTTTTACAATAATGTGTTATTTTTTTTTTAAATATTATTGAAAAATTGTACTAACCCTCCTCCCCCCCCCGCCCTGTTGCAAACTCGATATAACTCAAAATACAACTCAAATTAAATTGAGTGTGGCCACTTGAGCCCTGCTTATAGTTAATCATATAAGTTGTTATTCTGTTATTCATATACTACTAATATGAACACAATAAAAATAAATTTAATAAAACTATTTAAACTATGCAAATTAATATTATATATTTATTAAAACATGTCTTGAATTTTTTTGAATTTGTTAATAACATTAAGTTTTTTTTGTCTTTCAACAAAGTTTGTTTACGGTTTTGATATCCACTTAACTTTTTTTGGCCGTCATAATTAAAATACTATAAAACAAATATATATATAATAAATAACCATAACGATCCCCCACCCCCAGGCAGTCGATTGATTTGATATTTTGACACAACTAACCATAGTCAAGTAACTATAGCAACATTATTTATTATCGGTAAAACATAACATTTAAATTGCATTATTGTTTGTTTTCTCAATCCAGTAAAATTTATTTCGGCAATCTTTATTTTTAAGTCATAGTACCACATTATTCATATGTAATGCATCGCCCACGTTCAATCACAGGCCGCAGTTCTCGAAACGCATCACAAAACGTCAAAGGAAATGAAATCACATTGATCAAGAAAGTTTAGACTAAAATTAACGTGTTGGAGTCAGTATATTTCAAATTCAAGCAGAAGAAAAGGCAGATCAACGGAATTATACCAGGTCCCGCAAATCCCAATTGATAATGAGTTGTTTGATATCTGTCCATCAATGCAATATTCGACAAACGACTGCTCAGGGAGCAATATCATACAACAGAAATTAGTTACAGAGGTTCGTACAAGAAAAATATACACCGGAACTCCTTCCAGAACAAAATATAGCATTTGATACCATCATGCAAGCTGTGGCCAGCCGCAGCGGAACTGGAAAAACATTCTTAATTTCTTTGAAACATCAGAAATGGGAAAGGTTTTTCAGACGTGCTTAATCATTGTTTGGAATGATAGTGTACAATGGCTCACAAGAATTAATTGGAAGCATTAGACCATACATTGAAATTTTGAAGACTTGCGAAGTAATGCAATCAAGTATTTATTTTTAAACACATGTAAAATCGTACGCTTGAAAATGTATTACCGATAACGAACGTACGAAATCGTGTTTTACCGGTATAATATTATAACGACAATACCTATCTCGTAAACCGTAATTAACACGCGACAACAACAACGCGTAAAACAGTGACTTCATACAATATTATATAATAATGAAAAAAATACCAACGGTGAGTATCGGACCAGAACGCGATGAGAAAAATGTGGTTTATATAATAAACTCAACGCCGAACGGCCGAATCAAAGGTCGATAAAGCACGTACGATAGTCGCGCGTGAACACACACCTCACCGGGGACTGTACGTGTTGCCCACGTCAACTTTACTGTCCGGCCGGGCTGTCACGCTGCCGTATGAAAGAGATGATCGCGACGACTAATGAAGCTTTGGAAATCTTCTCGGTGGCAATAATCTTATTGGTGAAGCGAAATTCCAAATGACCTAAACACTATAATATTATTATATCATTATCAAAAATATTTAAATAATATAGATTTATATTTATTTACATTTCAAAAGAATTGTGTTGTCATGATAATATACCTAAGTGTTTACTGTCTTAATCGTATATAATAAAATATTAATTCTAGGTACGCGAACAGCAATCGCTTAAGACACAATGCGAATTGCATTTATTTTATTACTGACATTTAAAGTTGCATTATCTAAATCTAAGTCCACCAAGAATATACACAAAGGACTTATAGGCAATGGAGATATGTATAATGTCGAAGATTATCCGTACGTAATGTCTTTAAAAGTATTTTTATCTAATAATAGGATAGCGACTTGCACAGGCTCGCTGTTAACAGAGTTGTTCGTATTGACTGCTGCTCACTGTGTTTACCGTAAAGACAAAAGGAATTTAAAAGTAAATATATCTATGTAATAAGTATTTGATGTAAAAAAACAGGGCTTGAATTTGAAAAAAATTCCGTCTTATGTTATTTAGAATTAAAATGTTACACAATTTTTGCATTCATCGTTATTCACAATTAAAACGTTATTCAAACTTTGCGTTTATCGTTATTTAGAACTAAAACGTTGTACAAGTTTTATGTATATCGTTATTTAAAATAGACAGTGTTAATACCTACCTATTAAATTTATAAATAATAACTAATGCCGGTAGGTAATAGCCCGGATTCGGAATATATTAATATAATCAATTTTTAGATTGTTTGCGTGAAATAAACGTTTCTACGAAACCAATAGACCTTTTAAATAAATAGATTTTAAAATATTTCGTTTTAATATTATTTTTCGTTCAATGATATTCTATATATTACGTTTTGCATTATTTTTGTTAATCGTTATGTTTTGTTTTGCAGTATTTAATTATTTTTGATTGTCGCTTTCCGTTATAATAACGTTTACAAATTGAAATCGGTTTTTTGTCAAATATAACGTTGTTACGTATGTAACGATATGGAGAAATCACGAAAATTAGCAAATTATTTTGAGTTAAGAATTCGTAAAAATTTTTCTTTTTAAATCTAAGATTTGAAAATGTAATACAAGATTACTCATAAGTTTGTCTACCTTTATCAATAAAAAAATCTCTACCGGAATGTCAAATTAAATTTTTATGAGCGTTTGAAATTCAAATTTTTACAACATTGGATGTTCACTCGATTTCTCTTGTAGCGATTTCCTTATTTTGTTGTAATTCAAAAACGAATAACTGTAGATACATGAGTATTTCACTGAATGTTTATATTAGCATTTAATATACACCATACAGTTTTGAAAATATTTTGACTCTTTTTGAGCTGTTTACGGACATGGTCAGTTTTCAATTTTTTAGTTTTTTTTTCTATTTATATCAATAAAGTTTTATCTGTTGGGCCAAAAAGTGCAAACATTTAATACAAGGCTCCTGGTATATTGTTACAATATCAGTTGAAAAAATATTAAAAATACATAGGTACAAATTTTTTTATAAGCATTTAAAGATAAAAATTTGACAAAATGTATCAATTTTAAAATTGAATAATTATTTTGTAGTTAAAAATGTTCAACTTTTATATCTAATGATTGAAAATTTAAAACAAGATTCCACTTAAGTAGTTAATTCTGTTACCAAAAAATATCTAAAAAATACATAAGCAAATTTTATTTTTATAGTAATTTTAAGTTCAAATTTGGACTAAATTACATAATAAAAAACCTTGAATAATTTTTTCAGTTTAACTATAATATTATTCGTGGGTACTTGAAACTTCTAAAGTGTACTATTATAATATATCTATGATAATATCACGGTTTGTTGTTGATGTATAACGCGCTACAGTACCTGATGGATATTGTGATATGATTAATTTGAAATTTATTATAGGTACCTATTATAGGTCAATATTTTTTTAAAACACCATAGATTTGTGTATAATATGTCTTAAACCTAGACTGACATACCGTCTCCACTCAGAATCATTTTTCTTATACAATGATATTATATCATTGAATTCAAATTTAATATCATCCATTCTACAGTGACCCACTTGTAACCTACTGTACAAAAGAGCACCTTTTTATCATTAAATTTAGGATTTGGATTTTAAAGCAACTGCATACTTTTTTCTATGTATTAGCTGCACTGTTTTTTGATTTTTTCCTTGTATATTACTTTATTACCAAGTATTTGTTAATTTGTTAATTGTTAATTTTTGTTTAGATTATTCATTAAGTATTTACAGTAAAATTATAGTATTTAATACCTTATTAAAAATAAAATATTGTTAACATTTCTATTGACTATTGGTGTGTAATTTTTTCAATTTTTTATTTCAAATTGTACCTAGGTACCTTATTCAAAAAATAATTATTAAATACTAGTTGATCCCGTGCACTTCGTTGTCCGTTAAATGTATCAACTCTATATGACTCAAACTTTGTTCAATTCGTTATTTAATATTCGGTGTTCAAAATTTATCTTAACTTTTCCGTTGCAAGTAGGTTTGTACGTAAGTGTATATTTAACTCTAAAGTATCAATGTTATACCAAGTCTGTCGTTTTTACTTAATTCCACCTACGGCAGATTAATAGAATCAATTTATACAAAATCTAATCCTACTAAAATCTGATGAATAAAAAAAAATTTAACCCTTTGTAAATTAACCTATCTTCTTCCCAGAGGTCTAATCTACCCACAAACATTTATTTATATATATCTAACTAAATAAATACACAGACTATAACTATACAGACTAAACTCTGGAACTACTATCAGATCGTCTTGTATATATTATAAATATGTAATATGTATATTGACAAAAGATAATAATACAAATCAACAATCATGCCCGATCAACCAATAGCAACCAATATATTATAGACCGGTGGATTTTCCTAACATTTTCTTTCATATAATAAACCTTCTCCGTGAAATACTCTTAGGTACGTTTAAAAAAAAAAAATCAAGAAGATCTGATAAGTAGTTCCAGAGTTTAGCCTGTACAGAGATTTTCATTTCACATTTTTATAGTTATTCCATTTTAAATGTATATTAATAATAAAAATATATAATAATAATTTTAACGAGTTCAGCGTTCTCTGCTGTACGCGAAATGACGAAAACGAAAACGACGACGATGACGATAACCAAGTGCACAACGCCACGTTGCCACAGAATAAAATATAATAAATGTACATCGCAGCCGCCGACGACGACAATGCTACGGTACTGCAGTAGACGTTGAAGTAGTGGGGGTTATATCGGCGGCAGTCGGCGTCGTCAACGAATGCCGCTATGTAACAATACGGCAAACTTAATACTTCTAATAACTATTTAAATAATTCATTTCTTGGACTTTTCTCTTTTGATGGCTCATCTGCACACCGAGTACTTGCGTTAGAAAAAGAAATCATGAAAATCGGTCAAGTAGAACTTCAGATATAACTGTCATAAGAAATCGCCTCACGTTTTAATAGGTAATATAAAGATATGTTGGTCTGGGGTTGATTTGGTTGGTAAAAACGCTACTAAAACGTATGAACTAAATCGTACGGTGTAAAACGTAATAATAAGGTGCCGGAGTAGCAGGGACTCATGGTCTAATCGTCACTTTTCTTCAATTTCGGCTCGGCGGCTGTTGCAACGACGCGCGGCAGCAGTAGCTACTAGCTACCGCTCAACGGCAATCACGGTCATAGCATACGTATTAATAGGTAATATAAAGATTTTAATATGTTGGTCTGGGGTTGATCACACTACTAAAACTTACGAACTAAAACTAACGAACTAAAATGTAAAAGAATGGTGCCAGAGTACCAGGGAATCATGATCTAATCGTTACTTTTCTTCAGTTTCGGCGGCGGCGGCTCGGCGGCTGTTTCGACGACGCGCGGCAGCAGTAGCTACTCGCTCAACGGCAATCACGATCATAGCATACGTTCCTGTTACATTCTGTTACATTATTACTTGAGTACAAACAACGACGCGCATCGTATTCATTAAATATATCATTAGATCACCTTAGGTGTGATAAAAAAAATGAATAATTTAATTTGTATAATTGTATACCAATATTAAAAACCAAGGAAATCACCGAGGGCATACATTTGCCATATAAATAAATGCAAATAGAATTCAATAGGTAGATTAACTACTACCATTGATTTATGATTATAGTATATAATCAAAGTTGTTAGTTACTACGTGTTACTACGTGTTACTATGTGTGCGTAAAATTTTGATTTGACTAGATGATTAAATGACTAGGATAGCTAACAAATTCTAACACTTTTGTAATCGCTTATCACCTCTAGACTCTAGTTATTAGTAATTTATAACAATACTAGCTGATCCCGTGCACTTCATTGCCTGTTAAATGTATCAACTCTATATATGACTCAAACTTCGTTCAATTAGTCATTTAATATTCAGTGTACGGTGTTCAAAATTTATCTTATCTTTTCCGTTGCCCGGAATACAAATTCTGAATCGCAGCAGGTAGGTAATCTACTTGTGATTTTTTTTTTTGTGTCTGTCATCACCTTTTAGGACAGTAAAAGTGCTTGGATTTTCTTCAACAGTATCTTTTCTGATAGGAAAGAGAATCTAGTTGGTACTTTGAGAGGTCAAAATTAAAAATTTCACAGTAGTTTTCAAAAGCGACTTGAAAAAGAAAAGAAAAATTAAGGAAACACTGGAATTTTTACGCAAAATCTGTTTTCGAGAAAAACGATTTTGGTTTTTGGTTTAACTCTAAAACAAACGACCGTAGAAACATGAAATTTTTTCTGACTGTTTATATGAGAATTTTCTATACACCACGCCTTTTTAAAAATATTTTGACTTATTTTGAGCTGTTTAGGGACATTTTTAGTTTCCAATTTTTTTAGTTTTTTTTCCTATAAATATCGATTAAGTTTTATTATATATCTATGATAGTATCGGGGTTTGTTGTTGATGTATAACACATTATGAGTACCTAATGGATATTGTGATATGATTAATTTGGAATTTATTATAGTTACCTATTATAGGTTAATTTTTTTTTAATACCATAGATAAGTATATAATATGTCTTATACCTAGACTGACATACCGTCTCCTCTCAGAATCGTTTTTCTTATACAATGATATTATATCATTGAATTCAAATTTAATACCATCCATTATACAGTGACCCACATGTAACCTACTGTACAGTAGAGCACCTTTTTATTATTATTATTGTTGTTGTTATTATTATTATTATTATTATAGCTTAAAAACCCATTGCAACCATTTATAAACAAAAATTTCCATCTGAAACCTCAAAATTCCCGTTTGAGCACCTACCGGGGTTGGTCCTCGCCCTTTTTAAAATAGCCTATGTTTTAAGTTGGACCAAAATACACATAGTGTAAAAATTTCATCAAGATCGGTCCAGTAGTTTTTACGTGAAAGAGTAACAAAGTTACAAACTTTCACGTTTATAACATTAATAAGATTTAAAAATTAGTTACTTTTTTTTTTTTATTGAACAAAAATGTATATTGACAATGTGTATTAACAAGTTATATAATAAGTAAATGGGATGTGGTTTGATTGACGGGAGGGGGAAGTCACTCAATGGTGGTACGCTGTAGTTTAATACTTAATAGGAAATTTAAAAAATAAATATAAGTAGGTAAGGTAAATTTTTCTGAAAATTAACACAAATTAAAAAAAAATAAGATTGAATTTCTATTTTATCCAGAAAAGCAGCCAGGATTTTTTCGTGACAACCCTGATTTAAATACATTGTTATTTTAAACTAAAATACCTATGTTTATGCAGGTATATCAAGGTTCATGGATAAAAAATCAAGATGCACGTAACGTAGTTAAACTATTCGTACACGAAAGCTATAACCCTGTATCTGAAGTTATAATTGGAGATATTAGTGTATTGCAAGTAAGCGCACTTTTATTTTATATTATACTACCCGGTTAGACAACCCGGGAGACTTGGAACTGGGAGCTGACTTGGAACAATTGTGTTATTTTTTCATAACAGCGTTTAATTTTATGCTAGATAAGGGAAATAAAATTCTGCTTCCACGAAAATATTTTTTGGAACGTTTTGTTATCATCAAAAATGTGTTATCTCTTATCAATAAGCTATATAAATATAGTACAACCATAATTAAATAAAAAAAATTCAAATTTTCAACTACTAAATTAAGAGCTTCGAAAGTGTTACTTCAGCTTCAAAAATGAAATTATTGTTATTTTTTAGTGAATTCCAATGTGTTGTTAGTGTTAACAGTTAAGTAGAATTATAGGACATAATATTATTTATATTTTGTAGGGTTGCTTTTTATTTTCCGTAAAAAATAAGGTTACTTGGAACATGGGTACCTAGGTCATTATATTACTTAGTACCGACATTTTTCGAATTTTTTTTTTTGTTTTCAAATTTAGTTATATAAATATGTTGGTTAAATTTATTTTAGAAGCAAAGACTACAACTTATATAAAAAATTATTATTTGGTAATAAATAGGTACCTAGTTTGAAAAATAATGTTAATTAGTTTTTAAATTAAAAAATAATTGTAGAGTTCCAAGTGATCTTCACAAATGATTAAATGCAATCAGCATTTTAAAAAACTCATGTTCCAAGTCATTTGGAACAAGCACTTTTTATTTTTTTTTTACCTTAATTTACTCAATTTGCTCAATCTATTCCTTGGAGGTGTGCGACACTGCATGATTTTTTACAGAATTTAATTATCAATAATGAATGTTTTAAAGTAGTTAAAAGTCAAAATCGTTCCAAGTCACCCGGATTGACGGTACCTAAGAAAATTAAGATTTATTTGTACCTACTTGTTCTTTAACTTCTAAAGGGATTCTACTTAATTACTCTTGCTTGGATCATATACAGTAAAATATTTATTAACTATGTAGAATGTAGATAGTAACCACATTGTCAATATTGTCATATTTTAATTGTTGTAAAAACAAAATATACTGTTCTATTATAAAAATAATGTATATTATTATTATTAAAAGTTAAAACATTTTTATTTAGATAGAAAAACCATACCCTCATATTAAGGAATATATAAGGATAGGTGGCACGCCTATTGACTTTGCCAATAACAAAATCCTGAAGTGTACAGTTTTTGGCTTTGGTAGTATTAATGCTGAAAATACTTTAGGCAATGAATTACTTATGAACAAAATTATGGTTAGACATGGTAGAAAAGCTTGTGAATTATATGACAGGTATATATATATACATATATATTTCAGACAAGATTTATAGCATTTATGTGTTCAAATAGTGTTCAAATAATAGACACATGGCAACAATATTTGTGTGTGGTACCAAGCAAGCGAAAAACATATGAAGGAGACAGTGGTGGTCCAATGATTTGCAAAGGCTGGCAATATGGAGTATGCAGTTTTTCAATGAATCTCAAAGGTGAAAAAATGCAGACTATCCACGTGTTCGTAGACTATTATAGAAAATGGGTAAATGATATTATAGAATCAGAACAAAGCATAACCACAACCACAAAACGAAAACGAATGAAAAATTATAAAACAAACCAAAAAAGTGCTGCAAAATTGATTATACCATACCATGTATTGTACATGATTTTAGGAATATTATGGTATAATGTGTATCATTATACTGTCTTTTAATTTCAATTTTAATTTTTTTGTTTTCAATTTCCTGCGGATTTATTATTTAAACGGCCCAAAGGTCTTTATAAATATGTTTAATAGTTGTATATATTTTACATACTAAATATTAATAATATATACTTTACACATTGATGAAGTCGCACTTCCAGTGAAGTGGCCGCCTATCCTTAATCTAAATTCTTAAACTAAGTCGTATGGTTTCAGACGCTTAAGACGTCTGCTGAACTTGAAGTTGTCTAATAATTGGACGGGCGGATGGCCAATGGATTGACGTGGTGATCTATCTTCATCTCGTGTGTGCAAGCAAACCTTAGGATTCGTCTGCTATTTTAGGCAGCATAATATCATAGTGAATTGAGTTGTTTCTTTTGAACTAGTAGGCTGCAGTGGTGGTTCAAAGGGCGATGTACCATCTATGTTAGACTATAATTCGTGTCTTTAGTATTTGTGTCTGTGTACACGATAAGCAATTTGGTAGTTTGCGTTTTTATAAATTTCAATTACATTTTATTCGATGGGTCAAAAAGCATGACAATTTAATATAAGGCTTCTCACACGTTGTTACAATAGTGGTTTAAAAATATCAAAAATACATAGGCACGATTTTTCTTTACAAGCAATATTAAGTATTTAAAGTTCAAATTTTGAATAAATTTATCAAATATAAAATTTGCTAATTATTTTGTAGTTAAAAATGTATAAAATATTCAATATTTATAGCTAAGAATTAAAAATTTAAATCAAAGTTCTACGTAAGTAGTCATACTATAACTAAAAATATAAATAATATAGAAACACTGTTTTTTTTTTTAAATATTAAGTTCAAATTTGGTCGAAATTAGATATTAAAACAAAGATAAACGTTTAGTTATTTTGTTCTAATTTAAAAATATCATTCCTGAGTACTTGAAACTTTCAAAATATATTATTATATTTTATACACTCAATGACAATATCAAATTCAATTTTCCGGCAAAAATTAATTTAACCTACTGTAGTACTAATGCCAAAAGGTGGGCATTAACTACCTAGTTAAAAAGTTATACTTTTTTAACAGTTTGTTATTTTCCTAATCAACTTATGAACTTAACTAGTTTAAACGACAGTTTAAATAACTTAAGTTTCCTCATTTATTTAAAATTAATCCATCAAGTTGCCTAATATCTAGTAAAATAAATTATTTTAATCACATTAATACCATAATATATATTATTATATTTACATACTTTATAAATCGTAATATTATAGATTCACAGACCACAGACCGCTTTCGATCAGAACCGTGTTTGTATACCGACAAAGATTGATTTTATATCATTAAATTCAAATTTGACACATCGATTACAGTGATTACTCTAGAGTATTGATATATTGATACTTTTGACCAAAAAAAAAAAAACAAATAATTAATACTCATGTAGTGCGTTACTGGCATGTAGCCATATAGAGTAGCACGTGAATTGGCTAGGGGTTTTTCTTTTACACAAAGGCACGCACTTGTGATCACTTAGCTGCTGAGGTGTGTGATCAGTTGCGAGAAGGCCAGTGGCGACCGTACACCACCAGTGACCATCAGATACCGCAGTGTCCAGGCAGCTTGCTCCGCGGCTATAGATAGTATCTGGCTGGCCAATTCGAACTAGTTATCACTGGGGGCGATGTGCATAGTATATATATACAACCGAACCGGTGTTAGTTCATTAGTGAGGCGCTCGCAGTATAGTTGGCGTCAGACCAGCCGTACGGCAGGCTCTAGCCACTTTATATGGCTAGATTGTTGTTTTTAACGTTGTAAAAACCTACGTTGAGTACCTAACTATAATTGTTGCATCCAAACCCGAATTGCTCCACTGTGCACTATGTGGTCACTGGCCGCGCACCGGAGTAGTCTTACCGTCCGACTAACTGCAAATCCGCCTCACGCCAACATTTTTTTGATTTTCGTTAAATTTTTTTGATCACTCACAGCATAATAATATATTATTAAAATATTATAACTGGTTGCTCATCTCATACACTCCATCAAACAAAAAAATTTGATGGTAGCAATTTCTGATAGTAGTCGTCACGGACTACGATATATCTTAGTCCGTGGTAGTCGTCCCATCAATAAATTATTATAAAATCATATCATAGAGCAATAATAACTATAAAGTATAAACCATAGTATATTTACTATAGATAGTTTTATTATCTTTATTATCTATGCATAAAATAAAGTGATACTGATAATTATTTTAGATTCTGAGAGGAACGATGAATATATTGATTTTACAATGATGTGTGTTTTTTTTTTTTTGTTTCTGTGTACACGATAAGTAGTCGAAATAATGCTTCGATTTTCAACTTCAATATCTTGTTCGATTGGAAAGTGAATATCGTTGGTGCATTGGGGAGGTCAAAATTTAAAATACCCAGTAATTTTCAAAAGTCCCAAAAAAACAAAAGAAAAATTAAGGAAAAACGGGAATTTTTACGCAAAATCGATTTTTCACAAAATTGAATTTGGTTTTTAGTGTAACTTTAAAGCAAATGATCGTAGATACATGAAATTTTCACTGATTGTTTATATTTGCATTTTCTATACACGATTACATTTTCCAAATATTTTGATTTATTTTAAACTGTTTAGGGATATTTTCATTTTCCATTTTTTTTTAGTTTTTGTTCTAAAAATATCAGAAATACAATTTTATTTATTGGTTAAAAAAGCTTGAACATTTAATAGAAGGCTCCTAGTATATTTTTTCAAAGGCAGATGAAAAATATTAAAAATCCTTAGCCACAGTTATTTTTTTATAAGCATTTAAAGTTCAAAAATTGACAATAAAAATATGGAAAAATCACGAAAATTAGCAAATTATTTTAAGTTAAGAATTCATAAAACTTTCTCTTATTAAATCTAAGATTTTAAAATGCAATACAAGATTCCTTATAAGATTATCTACCTTTGTCAAAAAAAAAATGTCAATAAGAAAGTCAAATTAAATTTTTATAAGCGTTTGAATTCAAATTTTTACAACATAGGATATGCACTCGATTTCTCTTGTAGCTATTTCTTTATTTTGTTGTAATTCAAAAACGAATTACTGTAGATACATGAAAATTTCACTGAATGTTCAGATTAGCATTTCCTATACACCATACAATTTTGAAAATATTTTGACTCTTTTTGAGCCGTTTACGGACATTTTCAGTTTTCAATTTTTTTAGTTTTTTTTTTCTATAAACATCAATAAAGTTTTCCCTGTTGGGCCAAAAAGTGTAAACATTTAATACAAGGCTTCTAATATATTGTTACAATATCAGTTGAAAAATATTAAAAATACATATTCACAATATTTTTTTATAAGCACTTAAAGATCGAATTTTGACAAAATATATCAAATTTAAAATTGAATAATTATTGTTTAGTTAAAAATTTATAAAATGTTCAACTTTTACATCTAAGAATTGAAAATTTAAAACAAGATATAACTTAAGTAGTTAATTCTGTTACTGAAAAATCTAAAAAATACATAATCAAATTGTATTTTTATAGTCATTTTAAGTTCAAATTTGGACGAAATTACATAATAAAAAACCTAGAATAACTATTTTAGTTATTTAATATTTTGTTGTGATTGTATAATATTATTCGTGGGTACTTGAAACTTCTAAAGTATACTACTATATAGTATATATCTATGATAGTATCAGGGTTTGTTGTTGGTGTACCTAATGGATATTGCGATATGATTAATTTGCAATTCATTATGGGTCAATTTTTTTTATACTATAGATATGTATTATGTATATAATATGTCTTATACCTAAAAGGACATACCGTCTCCTCTCAGAATCGTTTTTCTCATACAATGATATAATATCATTGAATTCAAATGTAATACCTGTTATACCATCCATTTACAGTGACCCACTTGTAACGTACTGTAAGCAGAGCACCTTTTTTATTATTTTTTTTTTTTTGTAAATTTCGATGTTTTATTTATTGTATCGAAAAGCTTGAAAATGTAATACAAGGATCATCACAGATTGTTACAATAACAGTTTTAAAAATTTTTAAATTTATAAACACTGCAGTTTCTTACTTGAACAAAATTAGATAGACGAAAGAATACCGATTTTAGTTACTTTTTCGTAATTTCAAAATATTATTCGGGGGTACCTGAATCTTATAAAGTATATTATTTTATTTTTTACACACAATGACGTTTTCAGCAAAAATTATTTCAACCTATTGTATAACTTTCTCTCTTTTTTTTTAAATTTGAATTGGATAAACACTAATTAGGTAGCCATGGTATCTAAAGTAAATATTTGTACAATAAATCGATATCAGATATTATCGACAGAAAACAATCGATATTTACGATAGAATTTTGTACACCATGGTTTTTTAGCACAATTATTGTAGAGACAGTAGTTGTAGAGTCTACAATATTATGTAGACAATTGTGACTTGTGAGTATCACTACATCGATGATGAGCATAAATCATAATAATCATATTATTATAATTTATTAAAATGTTCTGGTACGTCGTCTTTCTATTAGATCGAAATTTTAATCTCTTATCTTCTGTGGATAATACTATTTACTTGGCGTTTAACAATAATTAATTTCAAATGATAACAGTATTGATATTATTTAGTTGACGTGCGCGTCGTCCATACGCTGGAAAAAGTGACAACAGTTTTGTCGTTTTATTGTACCCCTTAGTCCTTACGCTGAAACATATTAGAAAGTATCATTTGAACAATATATTATTTACGAAACGTAGTGCGCAAAGTCGACCAAGTGCGCGGTTATATTTGTTTTTATTTAAAGGGTTGAACTATCGACCGAATATCCTACATTGGACGGTTTCGCATCTCATACGTTCGCGTACACACGTAAACGGCATTTACCCATATTTACTATATTTTTTTCGGCCGATAGAAAATAAGCATCAATATGAGTACAACCACGGCTGCGGCCGCTGCGAAAATGACCAGCACAACGGCTGTAGCCATAAGTCTAGTGTTGTCCAGTTGCGTTGTAGCAAATGCTTTCCGTCAAAAGAAACAATTTTACCCATCAGTCGTATACATATGTAAATCCAACCCAAGTATGGCAGTAAGTAAAAATACACTAAATAATTTGGATTCTATCATAAGAGTTAATGTTTATATTGACTAAAAAAACAATAACACCTACCTACTTGCCTTGTATTTGTTTTCGTTAATCTTTATTTATATATATTTTAGATAATGTATATGCAAGCTTTAGTGGCCGTCTATTTAATCGGAAAATTAACCGGAAAATTATTTTTTGGCTCATTACGCCCTGCAGAATCGGAGGTATTTATTTTATAAATTTTACATTTTTTAAAATAAATTTCAAAAATCTATGTGATTTAATTGATTTGCTTATATATTTATATTTCTAGCGTTTAATTGAAAAAGCCTGGTACGCTGTGACAGAAACATGTTTAGCATTTACTATTTTTAAAGATGATTTGAGTCCCAAGTTTGTAGCTCTATTTACATTATTATTATTTTTAAAATGTTTTCATTGGTTGGCAGAGGATCGAGTAGATTATGTATGTTTGTATATTTTAAATTTGATAAACATGTTGTTATTTTATATATATTTATATTAATTTTATATTTTAAGATGGAACGTACTCCAGTTATATCATACATATTTCATTTGCGCATATGGTGTAAGTTATCTAAATATCTGTGTATTCAAAAATACACATTTTTATATTTTAATAATTTAAATTGTTTTTAAATAGTGCTATTAGTTATCTTAACTTTGGGTGACGTATATTTCGTTCATGATGCATATACTACTACAATGGCCAAAGGCCCATCGGTACAATTAGTATTTGGATTTGAATATGCATTACTCATCACATTAGCAGCTAATGCTGCCTTTAAGTATGTATTGCATGCAGTTGATGTACATAGTGACACATTTTGGGAAAGTAAAGCTGTTCTCCTGCTGTACCTTGAATTTTTTATTGGTAAGATTATTTAAAATATATATTTTCTAATCCATTATCAATTGAATATTAAGTTTAAGGGGACTGCAGTCTACTGTCATAATATGAAAAGGTTGTATTTAAACCTACTCACCCGAAAAAACAGGTTTTTGGTTAGACAGATTTAATTTTTGAAACTATATTTTAAAATATTAAACATTTAACTATGTTTTAATTTACGTGATTTTCAATACGTACCTATTGGTTTTTAAACTGAAGTATTAATGAACATAATTAATTCATCCATAAATTTATATGTAGATAACATCTACAGATTAGAATAATGTATACTGACTAGCCATCTTAAATGTATGATATTATAATATTCTCTAATCAATTTTTCTTTATTTTTCTTCTTTAAACACTGATTGCAGTCCTCTTTATAAGTATTGTATCATTTAACCTTATTTTTAAATTGATTATTTAAACCATTCTAACTCATCCATATATTATAATATGATTGATTAGGGTTGTGTAAAGCTGTGATGTATGTGGTTTTCCTTATAATCATGGTACGAACATACACAATACCACTATTTGCTTTTCGACCAATGTATCATACACTAAGGTAAAATATAAAATTATTTACTCAATACATTTTATTTATTTGTTCTAATATTTCAGTACAATTAATAATATTAAGTATAGTATAATTCTTTAGAAAGACTTCATAAGAAAGTCTACGCTTATATTGGAAACAAAATATACTATAATGTATTATATATTATTAATATAAACTGTATTTATTGTAAATGATAGTATTTATGCCATTAACTCTTTTAAATAAACATACATTTTATTATATGATATTAAGCAACTTGATAGAGACAACAATACTGATTTTGCCTCTCAAATATTATTTATAAAAATTGTATAGCTTGTCTATCTAGAATTTACAAACAATGCTAATATACGAATACATTATTTTGTAGAAATTTCAAAAAAGTATTCCAAGATCTTGTACTCTCTCGTAGAGCAATACATAATATGAATACTTTATACCCGGATGCTACATTACAAGATTTACAAGCCATTGAAAATGTGTGTATTATATGCCGGGAAGATATGACAGCTGCAGGTAAATATTGATATATTATTTAACTTATAAACGTAAAATAATTTTATTGTAAGATTGTATTAACTAAATTATTTTCTTTCTATAAAAATGATAAAAAAATTCTGATTTTTTAATTTAATTATTTTTAGCTGCAAAAAAATTGCCTTGTAATCATATATTTCATACATCATGTCTACGCAGCTGGTTCCAACGTCATCAAACTTGTCCAACTTGTAGATTAGATATTTTGCGCCCAACGCCTTTGACAACTCAGAATTCTAATGTTCCTAGACCAATAACACCAACACCTGGCAGGACAGCCCAGGAAACACCATCAACTGAAGCAGCTGCATCATCTTCTGCCACCGATAATAGTCGTGGACCATCTACTAGTAATCCTACACATGTATCATCAAATCAAGCAGGAAGTAGTGGAAGTTCCTATTATAATCAAACGCCACTCCAGTATCAATTTAGACCGTATACATTTCAACAACGATCAACATCTGTTGATGAAATTAATGGAAACAACAGTGAAAATTCAAATAATGGTATACCTGAATCAAATAATATGAATGAATCATGGATTGCGTTTATGAATGCAGCAGGAATAGGTGGTGGAATTGGGCCATCTTCATTGTTCAGTAATTTAAAAATCTTAATTTTAGAAATAATAACATTTTTAAAAGGTTTAACTTATTATTTATTCATTTGTTTGTTTTAATTAGATGATATGCCACAAACATCCACCAATTTACCATCTACAAACATACCACAGATTCCACTTAATTTACCATTTGTTGGTGGTAAGTAAATTTAATACTTTTACTAATGTTAAAATTATATTTAGGTACTTTTTTACTTAATTTTAAATTATTTTTATTTGATAAGAGGGATACATGTAATTCTACCTTAATGGTTCTAAAAATATTCCTTATTTATAATAAATAAATGATTTACAAACCACAATATATTGCATGAAATATGTTTTACTGTTTGTCACAAGCAGGGAAGGACTATAAATAATCTGAAAATAATTGTGCAGACAGTATTTTTTTAGTTGAATAATATCTTGAATGACAGTATTTGATTTAATAACAATTTGGCCGACAGTATTTCATCCAACAAATATTTTGGTTAAACAATATTTTAGCAGTTAGCTATAATATTGTCGGTCAACATTTTTGTCTGCTTAAAAACTGTTGCTGAAGTAACGTTGTCTAAAATATTGTTGGTTAAAATACTATCGACTAATACTGTCTAAAAATATGGTTCTGGTAAAATACATGTCCAATATAAAAAAAAATGTTGACTGAAATGCTGTTCAGACACAATATTTTCTGATTTTTTATGAGCTGCCCAAAGTAGAAGTTGGGTAATAGGATGTATAGAAAAGCAAGTCCTAATTTATGTGGGATAGCATAATATAAAAAGAAGAAGAAAAAATATTTAAAACCTAATAATTTTTTGTTCAAAATTCAAAATAAGTCAGAAATTATCTATACCTATACCTGTATCTTATATATTTAGATAAACTGCTAACTCAAAAAGGTTTGGGAAACTGGTATTATTATTCCTTACTACAGAATTAACTTAAAATAAATAATTATTTATACTCATTTATAAACTTCCATTATTTAGAGATATGCTGGACATTTTATAAAATAATATTTTTGTGCAATTACTTATTATTTGAACTAATATAATATATTTTTCATAAAAGGAATTGCAATTCAGCCACCAAATATACCTCCTAACTTGGATACACTATCTGATGAAGAATTACGTCTAATGGAGCAAAATACAAGACAAGGATGTTTAGCACGTATTAAATACATTACTGATATTAAATGTATGCTGGACGCTGCTGTTGTGATGATGAATCAGTATTCATCAGCATGTCTTATGGCTGGGTAAATGATTTTAAATTATGTATATTTCTTAAATGTAAGTGTAATTTTTGGATTTTACAATATTTAGTCAAATGTATTACAAGTAAAAATATTAGTGATATTAGAATTTAAATGAAAATTGGGCTATTTGTTGTATAGTAGGTAGAATGTACCTTGACACCTTGTCATTGTGTTATTGAGTGGATGTGTTAAATTTGAATTCAATAATAAACCATTGGAAACAAAAAACTATTCTGAGTTAAGGCAGTGTGTCCACCAACTATATTTTATGATATATTTATATTGCTATTAGAGTAATTTATTTTAATATTAGTAATACGATAGGTAAAGACGTTATCGACGTATCAAAATCATAAATTGTATAAATTGACAAATGATAAATGTTCTGAAAATAAAACAAAACTAGGTTTTTATTCCTCGGATGTATAAAATAAATTTTGTACTTGAAAAGCATTGTCTGGGACTTCCCAAAAAAATATTGCATTTTGCATTCAACACCGAGTTTTATACTTTTATCATGACAGAAAATTAATCTTTCAAGCTAAAAAAGTGTAAATACATATTATTTATTAATATTTGATTGTATAAGTACATGAAAAATCTAACTTGTGAATAACCTACAAATATTACATTGGTTCTAGGAAATTTAGTAGGTGGGTGGGTGAGTAGCTTATGAAACTTGTTCCTTGACTTTTTTAGATTCAAACCACCACTGGGTTGAATACATTTTTGGCAAAATCTTTGCATTATTATAATAGTATAATATCAAATACAGTGGTCGCCGCTTAATGTAATCACTTTGGTACGAGACAAAACTGATAACATAATCCGATTGATAACACTAAACAAAAGTTTAAAAAATAATAAAACCTACGTTCAATCAAAAAAAAAAAAATAATAATAATGAAGTGTTGCATTAAATTTAATATACATAATATACTGATATACACATAGTTATTAAAAAATATTATTATTTAATTTATTGTTATTTATTACTAATTATAGCATATTTCTAGGTAAAAAAAAAAAATTAACTATTACTGACTTGAACAATATTTTTTTATTGATATCGGGTTTTTTTTACCGTTGAAAGATCATTGATAAATTTTTGGTATTTGTAATGTAATTCAAAATGTGATGAGTGTTGTTGCACTCCCCATCGTAATACGCGTAGGGCCTCTCTCATTTCAAAAGAACTTGGAGGTTTTTCAGAATCTGTTTGTGGCTCGAGCTCAATTTCTTCATTTTCAATTTCTTCTCCGTGTTCATTTGTTTGTGATAAAGCATGTACAATATCTTCTTCAGTAAAATTTGATGTAGTAGGTATATTTTCATCGATTTTCAGCCAATTTTCAAAATCTGAGTAAAAATACTCGTATATAATGATGATTTTATGACCTCAAACTGATAATATAATGCGGCGTATTGATTACAATAACCGATATAATTTATACATTAACGTATATATCCGGCCCGTACTTATACTTTTCGATAACAATAAACGATTGATAACATTAACCGTGATTATAATAAGCGGCGACCACTGTATTACTGTTATTAGCTTTTTAGTCAATACCGACTTATATAAATAAGTTCTTATTATACTACTCAATAGTTTAAAATGTATGTAAATATTTTGGCAATGTCATTGTTCATACTAAAATATAATCATGATAATAATGTAATACAGTGAAACCTCTAAATACCGTACACTCTCGGTTACCAAAATGTTGTCCGCTATTTGGTGGTGTCCGCTACTCAGAGGGTTCAGCTTATAGACATTTTGTAGTGTGTTCCCAAAATAATATCCCTCTATTTAGAGATTTCCGTTAAGGGAGGTTTCACTGTATCATGTTTCAAGTCCTCATGAATAATATTTTTGAACCATTTGCAACTAAAATCTTTTATTTAATTTTCATTTTTATCTAATTTTGTTAAAATTTAACTTTATGAAACGCTAATAACACTTATACAAAAAAAATGGGTGAATGTATTTTCAATATTTTCAAATTGCTTTATGTTGTATTACATTTTCAAACTTTTTGACCAAACCTAAATATTTTTGTCAACACTTTAAAAAAACAAACTTAAAGAATTTGAAATTCCTAAAAGTAGCTTAAAATTAATCTAAATATTTAAAAAAATTAATTGTGTATAGAAAATAATAAGCATAATAAATAATAATAACTCATAGTGGATGTAGTAGGTACTAATGGAAATTTTCAATCTTCAACAATTAATATTTTTTTATTAATCACAAAATAATAAAAATTGTTAGAGGATAAACCGTTATTATTGAATATCCAATGTCATAAACATTTTGATAGCAACTTATAATTATGAGAAATCTTGTATTCAATTTTCAAATCTTAAATATTTTATAAATTTTTACTTACTTATATTATAATTTGTCCAAATTTTGTGATAATGTTGAATTTCTTAGACATTTGAACTTTAAACGCTTATAAATAAGAATTATAACTATATTGTTGATGTTTTAATTCTGCTATGTACAACTTATGAGGAATCCTGTTTTAAATTGTCTAGCTTTATAACTCCAAAACAAAAATTTTAATATCTATCAATAAAAAATATTTTGAGTTAATATTATTTTTAGTTAATGCTTAATGAGTATTAGGAGAAATTTTCAAGTATCTACATTCATTTATTCCAACAAAAAAACAAAATCGATATTCAAAAAATTGTTTTGTTAAAATGTTTTTAAATTATTTGTAAAACAGAGACAACACATGCGAGTGTAGCGTCCTTATAAGTCATGTATGAGAACTGTATAAATCAAGGGCATCCCTCCACTTATTTTGAGCCACTTAGAGCACTGTGTACAACCAATACATTTATCCGTTTTAACCGTTCAGAATCTAAAATGACTTAGTATTATAATTTAGTAATTTGTAGATTTGTTATAACTTTTATAAGTGATTCTGTTTTCAATTTGGTAATGTTACGAAATGTTTTAATGATAATAAACTTTGTTAATTGTAATCATTTTGTTTTCTAGTCTTGATAGTACGGATTCAACTTTTAACAGTGAAACTAAAACTTCGGATACTACAGAAAATGATGAGCAGTTAGAAACTAGACCACCAAGTAATATTTCTTCTGAAACGGATTCTAGTACCGGTAGTGGAGTTACTAGGTATTTATGATGATTCAAAACTTATTATTTTTAAACAATAAATTCAGCCCTAGGGTCTTTGCAAACTTGTGTATTTTGTTTTTCATTAAACTTTACAAATTAGTTTACATGCTGTTTTTAATTATAGAATAATGTTTATAACCTAACTTGCCTAACTATGAAGAGTATTGTTCTAATTCAACTAATTTTACTTAGACCAACTATTAAAAAAATTGTATGGAATTTATAGAAAAGTTAAGGAGAATTTATCTTGGTAGGGTTTTCTACAAAAATAGACCTATCTTGTACCAATAGTTCCAACTACCTAGTATCGGATAAAACTTCTGAAAACATTTTTAAATTAGTCTTAAATATTACTTATAACAACTTTTCCAGTTCAACCTTCAAAACTAGAATTTTAAATTTTGAGTACTAAGAATTGTGATATGTTAATAATAACATTCAAACTGTAATAGCTATAGCTGATTGTTCTAAAATTAAAAAAAAAATTGATCTTAATATAATGATACATTCAAATATATTTTCAGAAATTTTATTGGATAACTAGGTTAGTTAAGGTTGATGCTTATGAAAAAAATGAATTGATTAATATTTGTGTAGTGTGATATTGACATGCACTTCAGTATTTTTAAGTATGCAGTCACACATACTAATGATCACTTACTTCAAATACATTTTCATAACCCACACCCATGCAGACAATTTCCTATATTGTAATCTTTAAAAATGTCACATCCTCTTAAAAGGAGTATCTTTTTCAAACCTGCATATTATGTTGTCTTCGTCTTCATAATGATAACATACTAAAATATGTTCAGCAATTCCAATTTTGTGTTGTTAACTTTAATATTAGATTGAATTAACTTCAAATGAAACACAAAGGTAAAAACATTATCTATGTTCTTTGGTTTTTTATGATATTTGAACTTCACTTGAGTTATGAGCATGTTTAAATATTAATATTTTAAATTATCATAACTTGTTTAAAAAGAAATATATCTTAAACGTTCAACAAGAGAACACTTATAATTTAAAATGTCCTTAAGCCCTTACATGATACACATGATATACATTAATTCATTCTAATATAAACGCTGACAAAATAAAATTGTTATGTTATGCGTCTGTAAGACGGAGGCAACACATTGGGTATAACTATTTTTTTTATATTAGAGTATGACATTAAAAATCTAGTGTATGGCATCAGAAAAAAAAATTAATCAGTCTATCACAATCCAGTGCTTGGTAACACAACAAATTGGTTTTAAATATTTACATTTCAAAACAATTATAATTTTAACGTTTATGAACATTTATATTATACATTATACTTATATAAATTTTAAACAAAAAAACAAATTTCTGGTAAATATTTTAGTCTTATTTGAACTTATTGAATTAGTCTTTTTTAAAATTATGTTTAGTCTTCTTATTTTAACAAATGAAAATATATATAAAAAAAACTCGCTTTTTCGAAGCCAAAAAAAAAAAATGGTGAGTTACCTTCTAACTACCTACAAGGTAGTTCTGGGTTGGACCTATCCGGTCTAGTTGTGAATCTAAACAATTCAGGAACCCTCAAACAATTTCATCAAAATTGGTCCTGCCATTTAAGATTAGTTTAAATATGTACACACGTAAAGAAAATATATATATATATAAAGATAACAATTGTAGGTATAACAAAAGCATCCTAGATACCTAACTATTAATAATATATACATTATTTAGTAATATTAGGCTAATGTTATAATACTTATAATCATCATCATCTGAGTTTTCTTTTGACTCAATGACTTCAATTTACAATAATTAATCATCATCCATAATCACACAAAGATACATATTATTCTACTTTCTCATTACCAAATAAACCAATAACAATTAAATCAAATTCTTTTTTGTTTTCTTTTGTTAGCACATTAGTACTATACACTATACAGTGAATATAAAATTGTATAACCAATCAATATACCTCTAATAGCCTCTGAATTGTATCAACCTAAATATATAGTACACTCGCAAATTACAATCTTTGTCCTCATCCTTGCTATTCATCTTTTCTTTGTCAATTTTTGTTTGGATCAACATTTTCTATTTTTCTCTGTCTTTACTTCTCATTTTTTTTTGTGATTTTAGATTTCACTTTGCTAAGCTATCATAAAACCTTCAAACAGTAGTGATATTCTTTTTGCAAGTACTTCTCATATTTTTTCTTCTGATCCCAATTTAATAGTCTTTTGTTGAAGTATATGGATCATTTACATTGTATGATAGGTATCTTAATTACTGTATTCAAATTTGTTTTGAGTAGTTACAGATCATTTATAATTTACTTATTTTTTTTAATACTTCTTTCCAAATCTTAAATATATTTTTAAATTGCATGTGTCTTATCAATCATTACCTATATATTTTTTTAATTAATTTGCTATATGGGTTCCAATAAACGCAGTATTTATGTACATTTGTTTTTTTTCACTACTTTTAGCTACTGTTGCAATTACTATAGCTCAAATTCTGATTCACTGGGAACGTCTTTCTTGATAAATTTTAAGTGATTAATGGCCATCTAATTCTATAGATATAGCCCAGCTAATTTATTTTTCTTTAGTAAATATGTATTAACAACTATTGAGTAAAGAAGCGAAATGGTATTTTGTCATATGCCAGTATGCCACTCTTGCACCTCTATTTTAGCCCATTATTTTTTTAGTGATCTAAAATGTAAATATTGCCATATTCAATAGCTGCTGAATATGTAGAGTTTGGATGCTCACTACATGTATTACTGCTCTTTTCTCTACAGAACATACTTAATACTTAGATGATTAAATAGGAAACATGTAAAAAAAAATTGTAAAACCAGTAATTTAATTTAATTTTCTATTGAATCACATTGACCGCCAAGGGGACTTTAACTATGTTACTTAAATTTGCCGAGAGATCTAGATCTAAATCTCAAAATAATACTAAATCTAGATTTTGAAATGATTCCGTTCACTGGATGAAAATAAAATATGTGATACAATGAATAACAGTTTTTATATTAAATTGCAAAACTTGTAATTAGGTATCTATAATTATTATTGAAATAATTAAAAAATATTTATTGTGCATTATAAGTTTTTCTTAGCAAACATATACATTTATTTTAATTCTACTGAATTACAAGTCAACTCTGTAAATAATTTATTTTAGTGTAATTCAAAATATTAATAATATTTGAAATATTTAGCAGCAGCAGTGGCAGTGAAGATCAATTAATCCAAGAAGAAACTGAACAGCAGCGAATTATTAGGTTAAAAAGGTTGGAGAAATTTGGAAGCAATTCCACGTAACTTTTGATAACAAATATCTAAGTATCCCATAATGTGATGAAAATGTTGTACTAAGTATTATTATTAATTCATATTATTTAATTGATAGAGAGGGTCAATATTTGGTTTATTTCTTCAACTATTCTATCATTTTGTAACATCTGTGTTTAAGTTATTTTTTTTAAGGTATGTAGTTGAATTCAAGTTTTGTTGTTTTCATTTATTTATTTCAACATATTTTTGCTTTATTTATGCAACCATACATGTAGCTTATTTACCAATGTCTATTGGAAAGTTATTTTATAATGGTAACTAAACGGGAATAACTATGATTTTTAATTAAAAAAGATAATTTTCAAAGAATCACAAGATTATATCAAACTAGTAATTACATAATTTAAAAATTGTATTCTATATTTATGTACATCTATATTATTTTATAAGTTAATGTTTTAAGGTCTAATAAAATGTAAATTTCTTATGTATGTATGAAAACTGTCCATGTTATACTTAATAGTTAATATCATAAAATCAAATGCAACCGTTCCAGTTATCAACAATAAAATACATAACTTCTATGATGGTATCATACTATTGTAAGATGTTGTTTTTATGTCTGGAGGCGTTGATATTTTATTTTTTTTCTATTTTGAGATCTGAAGGTTTATTCTACAAGACCATTATGTTATTTTGTAAGTAAATAATAATAATATACCAGGTGAAATGAAAGGATTGCTCTGAAGGATCATCTTGACTGAACGATTGTGTTTACTGCATGCTAGTATTCTAGACTTAAATCTTACAGTCATTGATTTGGTTGGTTTAGGTATCACTAGAAAATAATACATTACAATCCAAAAGATAAATTTAGAATTCAACCTATTTTAGAATCAAAAATATATTTTTTTAAATATTTGATAGGATGAAAAGGTTTTTCATTTTAGGTGAGATCTTAAACCTCCAGTTGCATTTATAGCTCTTAAGGTTGTAAGTTGTATAGTTAGAGCAATCATATTTCTACAGCCTTACTCCTGTAGGCTTATTGGAAGAAGTACTGCAGTGGCGATTCTAGCTATAGGCAGGGTGGGCAGCTGCCCATACCAAAATGTATGTCTGGTGCCCTTCCTTTAAAAATGTATTATTTTACAAACATAAGATGTTTTTATCTTTTGCTAAATTATTATGATAATTTACAATAATAAATTATTTTATTATCATTATATTGGTGACAAACTGGTAGTTACTAGTTATCAATGTTGTGTTAATGTCGCTTCCAATCTATCATCTAATTTTTTGCAATTTAGCAATCTATAGTTTATACGATGAAGAGAAGATTTTCTTCATAATATAGTTTAAGATTGTGAAGTTAAACTTATACAAGTGTTGTACCTAACGAATTCCCATTAATCGATTTTTAATATCTTGTTGTAATTTCAAAATACATAACCGTATACACTTGACATTTACACCAAATATTCATATAATCATATTATCATTTTCCAAACATGGTAACATTTTACAAACTATTTTGACTCGTTTTGAGCTATTTATATTCATGAAAATATTTTTCTAATTTTGTAAATTAGTTTTCAGTTAGTTAAAGTTTTCTTTTCTAGAGCTAACATTAGAAATTTTATTAAAAAATTCCCCATAAATTGTTCTACCTTTAATACAAAAAAAAAGTTTTCCGTACAGTGTGAGTAATTTATTGTATAGCCATAAAATATTTTTATTTTTATTAATTTTTTAGGATGACACAACATCTCCACTCAAAATAATTTTTGCGTATTCAATGATTTGTCATTGAACTAAAATATTATAATACATCCATTACAACGACATGCTCAACAACTACTAAACAGCAGAGTGGTACCAACTTGTCCACTTTTTATTATATTTAAAATCTTTATAATAAGAATTATAATTAATTTCCTACAATTTTATTTTTATTTTTTCTAGTCTAATAATTTTAGACATTTAGGTGAGGTATTTGAAAACTTAACTTCTCAACTTTTCTAGTAGACAAAATGCTCTGATCATAAACTTCGATGGAGATTTTTGGAAACAAATTGGATCTAGTTGGGACTGTAGGAAGTCAAATTGAAAATTCTCAGTATTTTTTGAAATAATCGGGAAAAACAAAAATAAATAACAATTTGTTAATATTGTTTGGTAACCATTGTTAGACTGTTTTAGTTTGGATTATATTTGATTAATATTCATTATTTTTTCTAAGAACGTCAATAAAAAATTATTTGTTTGGTAAAAAAGCTTAAAAATGTAATACATGTTTTTATTATTGTTACCTATCTAAAAATATTAATGGTACATTAGGTCACAATTATTTTAGATTCTGAGTGAAACGATGAATGTATTGATTTTACAATGATGTGTGTTTTTTTATTTTTTTTTTTATTTTTTTTTATTTTTTTTTTTATTTTTTTTTGTGTCTGTCATCACGTTTTAGGACAGTAAAAGTGCTTGGATTTTCTTCATCAGTAGCTTTTCTGATAGGAAAGTGAATCTAGTTGGTACTTTGGGGGGTCAAAAGTATAAATTTCCCGGTAGTTTTCACAAGCGCCGGGAAAAACAACATAAAAATTAAGGAAAAACGGGAATTTTTACGCAAAATTGGTTTTCCAAAAAATCGATTTTGGTTATTGGTGTAACTCTAAAACAAATGAACGTATATACATGAAATTTTCACTGGTTGTTAATATTTGCATTTTCTATACACGATAACATTTTCAAAATATTTTGATTTATTTTGAACTGTTTAGGGACATTTTCATTTTCCATTATTTTTTAGTTTTTTTTCTAAAAATATCAATACAATTTTATTTGTTGGTTGCGAAAGCTTGAAAATTTAATAGAAGGCTCCTAATATGTTGTTTCAAAGGCAGATGAAAAATATTAAAAATCCTTAGTCACAATTTTTTTTTATAAGCATTTAAAGTTCAAAAATTGACAAAATATGGAAAAATCACGAAAATTATCAAATTATTTTGAGTTAAGAATTCGTAAAAATTTTTCTTTTTAAATCTAAGATTTGAAAATGAAACACAAGATTCCTTATAAGATTATCTACCTTTATCAATAAAAAAATCTCTACCGGACAGTCAAATTAAATTTTTATGAGCGTTTGAAATTCAAATTTTTACAACATTGGATTTTCACTCGATTTCTCATGTAGCGATTTCCTTATTTTGTTGTAATTCAAAAACGAATAACTGTAGATACATGAAAATTTCACTGAATGTTTATATTAGCATTTCCTATACACCATACAATTTTGAAAATATTTTGACTCTTTTTGAGCTGTTTATGGACATTTACAGCTTTCAATTTTTTTTAGTTTTTTTTTTCTATAAATATCAATAAAGTTTTATCTGTTGGGCCAAAAAGTGTAAAAATTTAATACAAGGCTCCTGATATATTGTTACAATATCAGTTGAAAAATATTAAAAATACATAGGCACGATTTTTTTTTAAAAGCATTTAAAGTTGGAATTTTGACAAAATTTATCAAAATCTCAAAAATTATCAATCGTTGGAATTAAAAAATTATAAAATGTTCAGTTTTTATAACTAAGAGTTGAAAATTTAAAACAAAGATTCTCTTAAATAATTCATACTGTAACCAAAAAATCTAAAAAATATATAAACACACTTATTTTTTACAGACATTTTAATTTCAAATTTAGACAAAATTTCATATTTAAACCAAGAATTACGATTTTAGTTATTTTGTTGTGATTGTATAATATTATTCGTGGGTACTTGAAATTTCTAAAGTAATCTACTATATATATCTATGATAGTATCAGGGTTTGTTGTTGGTGTATAACGCGTTATAAGTACCTAATGGATATTGTGATATGATTAATTTGGAATTCATTTTAGGTCAATTTTTTTAATACCATAGATATGTATATAATATGTCTTATACCTAGAAGGACATACCGTCTCCTCTCAGAATCGTTTTTCTTATACAATGATATTATATCATTGAATTCAAATTTAATACCATCCATTATACAATGACCCACTTGTAACCTACTGTACAGCAGAGCGACAACCACTTGCCCACCTTTTTATACTTAAGCATTTAAAGTTAAAATTTTGACATAACCACAATTAATTTGTAGTTTAAAATTTATAAAATATTAAATTTGTATAGCTGAGGCTTGAAAATCGAATACAAAGTCTCTCATTCAAGTGGTTCATACTTTTACCAAAATATTACTGATAATTTTAAGAAAATTATTGGTATGCAAATATATTGTTTATGCAAAAATTAATTTGTTCTGGTAAGACGTATATCAATTTACGTCTTGTGTACTAAGTAAATGACGACAGTTGAAATTTGATAAATATTATTTTTAAAATTAATAATAATATGGTAATGGGGGGGGGTCAGCCAGTTAGCCCCCCCTGTCTTGCGTACACCACTGCTTTAGAAACTATAAGCATGAATGTTTTATTAAGAAAATGTTTGGGGGGAGGAGGGAGGAATGTTATTCACAGTTAAGACTGTCCTCATTATACAAAAATTAAATGTACTGTTGCCTATACGAAAATTTAGTCCTAGAACAGCGCCTGAGGTATACTGATTAAGATAATGCATTTGGTCTTATTAGTTTTATTTCAAAACTCAGAAAATTTAGATGGATACATGCGATAGATATATCATTTAATATGTTTAAATTATGTCTATGTAATTTTGAATTGGTATCTCAGCACTTAAAACTATAAAAATTTAAACTTTTAATTAATATTTATTTTTAAAAAGATAATAATAATAAATAATACATGCTTATTAGCAGGGCTAGTGAGTTCATGCATTTGCATATCAATCTTGCTAAGTCGTATTTAATGCTAGGTGACATAGAAATCCATTTCAAGGTACAGTGGTTAAGTATGTGAAATTTTATGTTGCATATTTTTGCATATTTAGAGGTTTTTTTAACTATTTGGCATATTTATGCGTTTTTCTATTTTATTGTGCATATTTTTATCGA